AAAAACAGACATCATTGTGAAATGTTTACTTACAGTTAATAATTTAATAATATTTAAAGTACAATGTTAATGAATATAATTATAATTTATAAAGAATTTGTATATTATGTTTTTCTTTTTGGAATAATAATATTCTGTTCAATATTTATAGCAGAGATATTGATATGGGATATGTTAATCATAAACATGAAATTGTTATTAAAGAATAAATGAAATATACCTGTTTACGTATATAGAGTTTAATACTCAATAAGTATAAAATTACAGGAAATAAAATAATAATAAAAATATAAATTAGATAGTAACTTGTCTGAAGTAAGTATATAGGTACAAATAAGAAGAAATCAAAATACATAAATATACATTATTTTTGTGCTTCAAACATCAACTTTGAGTGTGGTTTCTGGTAGAAAATTTGATTTACTTGGAACTTTTGGATATCCAGAAATAAGAAATTCTAAGTAATTTTCTAAATAATTGGGGAAAACTAACAAAAAACCGAGGGAATTGAGAAAACGGAAATAACACCAATTTTTTGACTAAAGATAGGATTTTTTTTTTAATCAAAAAAATATTAATAAGTGTAGAAACTTGAAATAATTATGTATTACTCAAATTATAAATTCCCTTACACAATTACATTATCAAAATATTTATAACTAATTTTAAGTTATTTATAGACATTGGAAATGTTTTATTTTTTAATTTTTTTGTTGGATTTATGTTGATAACATTTTTGTCTGTCTGTCTAAAATCTTAAAAATTGAATATAACATTTCTGAGAAGAAGTTGTTTTTTTATAGAAATTTAAAAATATGAAAATTGCATAATGTGCTCAATGTTAAAATATTGACAGCGTTAAATATTTATACGAAAAATAACAAATTTTCCTTATAATTAAATTTAATTATTTTGTAAAGATACTTTTCGCAATCACGTATATTATTTTATTATATTCATAAATTAATTCATAATATATTTTATTCATCATTTAAAATACCTAATAGGTACACAAAGTATCACAGGCCTATTCCGACTATTCAACGGTACAGGTATTGACTTACAAGTTAAAGACAAGGTTTTTTTTCAAAAATTACTTCAACCTAACATACAAAGAAAATAATAACAATATTATAAAATATATAGAATGCCATAAATTATCCTTCGAAATAGATACTGATCCATCTGTATCCTAAGCACATAATCGTTTTTCTTATCTGATACCAACAATGATTTATTATTAAATTCAAATTTAGCTCGTTCATTACAGCCGTGTGACCTACTCAATGAGACGACCTACACAAGATATCTACTATACATCAAGTTGAGTGAGTTATCTGCTTAATGATTTTTTAATATGAAGTTGTCTACATCTAATTGTTCATAATTTACATTAAATTGAAAAAAACGCTATAGTACACATTACATGATATATGACTAAAATCCAAACCGACTCTAACTGTAAATTAGTTAAAAATGTCTAAAATACTGTCTACAATTTAGTACATAGTCAGTCAACACTAATTAAATTAGTCTTGGTACCTACCTAGGTAATTTATACTTTCCATTAAAATAAAATTAGATTTTCATAATTTTGCAATATGTCTACTTATTTATTTATTTTATTGCATTACACTTTATTTAGACCGTGGTGGTGAATATGATTTTCAATTGTAAATATTTTAGAATTAAATATTTTGTACAAATTTAAATATAAAATTTTATGATATCTTATTTTGTTTATTATTGATACCTAACTTATGTTTAATCGAAAACTGCTTGAATTCTGAATTTGGGTACACTTGGTATGAGTTATGACTTTTATGTAAGCTAAACCTATATAAGTATATATTTTTTAACTATTGGAAAATATTATATTTATTTATTCAGTTATTGGTTTCTTTTTAATTTTAAAAACAGCAAAGGTTGAAACACTGATGATTTAGAAATTTTTTGGTGACACTTTTTTGGTTTGTAATAAGCTCCAAAAAGTTTTGTGTACTTTTATTATAAATAAACAATTTATTTAAATGATACCTTCGAATGAGTTATTTTTAGTGTTCCCAATAGTTTCCTTAACCGTAAGGAAAACTACAAAATGCAAAAATTGCGAAAAATATTGAATAAATCTAAGCAAATATGGTTTTAAACTTTCAACTAAGCTTGGATAGAATCATTTTATAGTTCGGTGGCTTAAACATTCAAATTTATAATAATAAATAATAATACATCACTGTAATTGGTCTTCGGAGAGTGCAAACATTCTGCCGTGCTGTGCTCTTTTTTCACATCGCGCAAATAATTTTATTTTATAACTTATCGTATAAAAACTATAAAGGTTTTAAGTATTTCTTCGTATACAATATTAAAATATTTATTTTAATAACCGTTGTTTAATATTCTGTGAAGTGCTCCGACCTTTCCTCGACTATACTTTTTACGATGAAAATATCATATATTAATAAGTACCACAGAGCAATATTATGCAAAACACAAAACATTAATTTATCGTTTGTGTTTACTTACAATGTTATTTCAAGTAATAATCAATTCATTTAATCATTTTTTTCGTATAGATCATGTAAGATGTTTGTTCCGATTTAAATATACCTACTTAATGCTTATTTTGTAGAGTATTGACTAAATTGTTTCACAACGTTCGTATACAATCGCTTTAGTTCTGTTTCTTTACAATTCAAAACGTCTCATCAAGATAGTTGTTTTTATAAAATTGTAGTGCCTACTCCTTAATCAAGATTTTTCTAGAACCTAGTGTGAAGTGGTGAGGTTTATTGATATTAAAATGGTTGTCAATGGATATTTATAATACATATATTTAATATAAAGTGGCGTTCATTCAATTTTCTTATGGTGAGGGGAAGGGGATTAAATTATATGCTTATCTGAGTGCTTCACTCAACACAATGAGTTCTTTCATAGTTAAAATATTCAGATGTATATTTAGATGATTGTGTATATACTGAAGTTTATATTTTTCATTCTAACCATTTCAAAAATGAGTTTTTTATTTTATTTTTGTCCTTGGGGTACTGATATTGTAGGTATTTTTTTTATATTCTTTCAAAATACTGGGCCCCATTAGTATATACTTTATTCCTTAAATGAAATATTATAATATAAATATTGGTTAGTTTATCATAAAAACTGTTTATATTATGTCACCATATATTATTATTTATTATTACCTAATGCAAAATTCTTAACTGTTTAATGTTTAACCGTTTGCATAAATTTGAAGGGTTTTATAGATTTTTTGATATAATATGGGTTTCAATATATAATATACAGTTTTGTGGTTCGTAAAAATAAAGTATGCCAGGCTGCATGCCTAAGCCTGTTAGGTATTAATGAAATGTGAGAGGCACAATGCTAGACGATTGGAAAGGGCTATCAACTATAAGGGTGAGCGATCATATTTTAAACGAGTTATGAATTATGATAACAACAAACAAGTCGTTTTACTGAAAATCATCGTTTGGTCATTTCTAACGTTTTTTTTTTGCACAGTAGACGGTCAAAACTAATTAAAACAAACGTCAATGGATAAAAAAAAAGAAAACAACCAATTCCAATATGCATTTCATATTGTAACCCTGAAAACGTATTATGTAGACGGCCGGTAGACTCAAAAAAACTATACCTATATAATATTATAGAAGCACGTACTTTACCATTAACTGTGTAGTCCACTTTGGTAATTATTTAAATATTATCGTTTAAGTATATTATTTTTTTTTTATATTTATATACGAAAATAGACGCTCAGAAAAAATCATCTCGATTTTTTAACACAATATAACTTCATAATATCGCGTGTGACCTACTGGTCTGTTTTCGGGTGTTTGAAAATATTATGGTCTTCGATCGATTATTATTTATCGATATAGTGTGCGAACACGCGTTACATACGAATATTGTGTGCGTGGAGAATAATAACATTACTATAATACCAGTAACGGAACAACTATAATAATAGGGTCGACGATATGATGGAATTCGTTCGCTTTTATCTGATGTCTTATCGACGACAAATCACTACTAGGAGTAACCAATTAATATATTTTTTGAAGAGCCACATTATAAATGTGGACATTTTTCTAGGGTTATCAGAATCTCTGGCATCAGTGGCAAATCAATGAACAAAAATGATAAACTATAACTCTATATGTAGAACGTGTAATATTTTTCATAATATTGTACTTAGTTCTGCTGAATAAAAATTTTGGTGACCCCTGCATTATAACGAATAAACGTCATCGATTCCGTGCTAACTCACATGCTATTGCTGACCCGGCGCGTGGTGCATAAAAACGTATAAAGTTAAGTACAGTTTTCGATGGGAAGAATATAGCAATGACGCTGGACTACTAACCGAAAGGTTTGATCGTTGTAGGTAAAATAATATTAAATTTCCGCGGTACGACGACCACCTATAAAGAGCAGATTTCCCGGTTTCACAATCTACATAAATCAACCTCAACATAATCAATTCGGATTTTAATCATTCTTATGAAAAACTATTTGCTTGTAGTCAACGCAATAATTAGTGCTGCTCGATTATTATTTAAACAACATTACATCATCTCGACAGTTAATAATATAATGGTTTTTTATTTAATACAATGAAAACAAGTGTCTACGTATGGGTGATAGGTACTCAATGCAAAAAGATAGTTAATATTTTTTTTACATTAAAAACCATTTATTAATTGGAAATTCAGAAGATTATTCAAGGAAATTGATATTTAAGTACCTACTCGTAATGCCGACAGTTGTTTTTATCTAGATGAGGGGAGTTAACATTTAGGCACAAAACGCTGTTGTCATTAAAAATGTGTTTAAAATTATCATCAAGACGTAATCGTTTCGGTTGGAAAATCGTTTATCAAGTACAAATCTAAGAAACACAAAGTGCATCGTCGGGACGGAGTAAACGCGGTCACTGTGTAGCGAGAACTATTATTGCAATCGCAACGTACCTCTGCAACTGCCGGCGTCTTCGGTGACGTCGACCACTTCGGCGATGTGGGTGCAGCTGTTGCGGCGGCGGCTGGCCACGCTGCTCCAGGGGCTGTTGGCGGCGCTGTTGTAACAGCTTCCGCCGCTGTTGTAACTGCTACCGCAGCCGGAACTGCTTCGACGGCTCCGCGAATCGCCGGTGGACGGGGTGCGCGAGAACCGGCGGCTGGTCATGTAGGCGAACGGTTCGTCATCCGAGTCGGTGTACCCGTCGTCCGTGTCGTCCTCGTCCATGCCGCGGTACTGGTCATTGTCCGGCGACAACGACGACACCGACGGGGACGGAGCCAACGCGTGCGACACCGCGTCGGCCGACGATGGTGAAGACGGCGACGACGGAGGCGACCAAGACGACGACGCAACGCACGGCGCCCGGTGCGACAGTCGGCCGTCGGTCGGCGACCGCGGCGACGACGGCAGAGATCCTATGGCGATCGGTCGGGCCGCACGTTCTCGGTCCCGCGGTTCGCGCCGTTCCCGCTGGTGGTCCGGTTCCGGCGACGGCGGGGATCCCTGCTGCGCCTGGAACAGTTCGTCCAAGATGCCCACGCTCCGCGCCACCGGTTCGTGCAGGTTGACCGCCACCAGCTGTCCGCACTTGTACAAGAACAGCAGCCAGATGTCCGGCTGGGCCGTCAGACACCGCACAATGTACCGGCCCAGTTTCAACACGCCCGATGAACGTTGCGTCGCCGGCTGCATGTCATCCGGCCGCGCGCACAACATCGACGCGATTGAACGTGCACGCGAACACCGGCGGCGGCCGCGGCTCACCGGGCCCGCCGCCCGACCGACCGAATTCTCAAGGTAGACCGCCTCGGCGTTATCCCCTCCTCCGCCCGCGCACGGCGGTCCGCCCGCGCCGCCGTCCAATTTGGCCAATATTATGTAAATAACAATAACGTCAATATGGTGATACGATGATAATAATAATGATCGAGCGCTTGAGAAATCTCAGCTATTACCGGTTTTTTATTTGTTCGGGCTGTCACTCAGTGACGACGACGACGACGACGACGACGACGACGACGGCGATAACAATAAGTCACTCAACTCGAGTTTAACCACGGTTACGCGTATGGTACATATAAGCTGACCTATAAGTGTAACATAATGCGGTATCCGATAGTGCAACTGTTGCATTGTCGGTCTGAAAATCATCAGCACTCTTGCAATGGATGTGGTTCTATTGAAATAATATTGTGCGTTGTACAGGGACAAATGATTTCATATTGGACTGAATTATTACAACTCCATATTCGATCATAATATTAGGTTATATTTATATAGGAGGTAAGCGTAGAATGCGCCGTATTGCGTTTGTGATTTGTATATATTTGTTTTAGAAATGATTTTATTGCTGTGGAAATTCATTTTCCTGCAATGATTGAATTATAAGACGTATCTGTAGGTATTGCATATTTTATAACGATCATTGTAAGACTGTGATATTTTTCTGGTCCGAACGAGGCGTTCAAAAATGAGAAACGAAGAAGTAATATATATACGTAACGGTGAACTCGGAGAATATGCTAAAAAAAAATATGAGAAAACGTGACTATTGTGGCGAATCGAAAGAAACCCTAAATCTATGTAATGAATGTACCACATAAATGGCCAAAAATGTCGTTTTCAAATACGAAAAAAATCATTTTTTTAAGTGCACCGATAAAAGTCATAACAATAAAAGTTTTCTTGAAAGTTGAGTCGATGTATTTTTGGATTAATCTTTTACAAGGTTTGGAAAAATATAATTCACTGGTTGAAGTCTTCTAGCCGTGCAGGCATGTAAAAACTATTAGACTATTAGAGGACCCTGGCTTAAATACCGCATATCATAAGATGGAACCACAAGTGTGAATAATTTATTTTATTTTTTTATTTTTAGTGATCTTATACGCATCGGCGACTATGGCCATAAACCCATAAGCATTTTGTAGGGGGGTTACGGTTGGTTGAGGAATACGTGTGGGGAAGATTCTTAACTAAAAACCCGGGTGGTCACCCATCCGGTAACTAGTGGTGACGGCCGATACTGTACCTTAGAACACATTAATAATTCAGGCCAACCACAAAATCACACCAGGCCTCGCAAATAATTTATCACGCGGCAATTCGTTTTCAAACGAGGAGCAATCATAACAACAATCAATATTTTTGAAAATTTTTACCACTTGAAATGTAATATAGTTGACGCCGGTTGGGTAGCAAACTTCATCAACGAATTAACGGTGGTTGGCATATTATATTGAACGACTGCCACAGTGATGTCATTAGACTATTACAAATAAGTAGGACTCGACTGTTTGATGTGATTGTTTTTTTTTTTTTTTTAAACAATTGTCGTTGAATAAGACGCTATAAAAAAGTTTTGTTCCAACGATGGCCTGTTTCAAATAAGTCTTCTAGAGAACTGCGGCACACGCGGTACCCGGTAGTTTGTTTTAGGAAAAAAAAACATAAATTATTTTTTCGTAATTGCGATTCCGAAATCATAAAGTTGTTTTATCCTATTTTTGGCATTTGCGCTTACCTATACTGTAAATCTGGTGATTCTTATAGTTACTTAGCATATTATTCTTATCATCAGTATTATTACTTTTTTTTGAGATTTACCCACGATAAACGGTTATAACATATTTTTACATTCTATTGTATTTTTAATTTCATAGTCACGAAATATAATTTCGTGCAAATGTCGATGAATAATTAATATCGAATATTGAACGAATAGTTCTTAACCAATAAGAGTGTATGGATAAGAGTAGTCTGAAGTTAACCACTTCAATATTGGCAATTCATCATTCCGCTCATACAAACTTTAAATGCTTGTATAATATACATACTATTTAATTTAATCGAATTTTTGTTGAAGTTTAAACCAATAGGTGATTTTCTTTTCATAATATTGTATTTATTTACAATCTGTAAATAACGGACCTGTTAACCTCTTCTTTTCCGTAATCGAGTACTTAAGACGAAGATTTATGAATTCTGTTGAAGCAGTTACGAACACAGAGTGCATTATCACGATCTTAATTAACAAGGGAAAACGTATAATCATAATGATATTTGGCTTAATGTTGGATTCAAGCTATATTATACCTGTTAACTTAGATTGAACAGATACGGTGCAGCTGTATACTCGTGTTATCGCATATATCGAGGGTAGATATTATACTGAATGGCCAAAGTTTAGTCATAAAATAAACACGATTACATTTCAAAAGTAAGAAATTGAGACATTAAAACTTAATAATATATACACTGCAGGTTGGCGCGTAAGTTTGCACAGCATATATTGATGCATACAGGTGATGTGTGGTCATTCGATATGTGCTTTTAGTGCTTCCATACCAATACGTCAATATTGAAATATTATATATTTACTTTAATAATAAAATATTGTCAATTTTTTAATTTATTAGATACGATTTACCTTGGCTTAAGACAGTCGTAACAAAGTTGTAATAATATAGTATAGCAGTATGGTAAAATAAAAATAATTTTGTTCAAACTGAATAACAGACAATTGGAAATATTAATATAGTAAGATAATATAAAAATATTGATGTAAAAAAAGAAAAGTGGTTTTACTTTTAAATTTAAGTAAAATGGTTTACACAGACATATTGTATAATTAAATTACTAAACGTTAATTTCAAGATACACTCTGTTGTCTATACCAGGGGTTTCCAAACTGTTTTATTTGTGGCCCACATAAAATATCAAACGCTCTTTGGGGCTCTTTGAGGGCCAAAAACTGTATAAATACATATTATCATTTTAGATTTTGAACGGAGCAGTCACTGTATTGATTGTACAATGATGTGTGTTTTTTAAATTTTTTTGTGTCTGTCATAGACCATAGTGTCATCACCTTTTGTGGCAGCAAAAATATTAAGATAAAACGAAAATTCTTATACAAAGCCAGTTTTAGACAAAATCAATTTTTTTTGTTTGGTGTTTAGCTTACAAAAATAATAAACCGAGAATTAATAATTCACGCCGAGACACAGCACAAAAATAAGAGCTGATTATTTAGCAGCTTAATTTTAGCTGATACTTAACTTAACCTTGTTACACTCGAATAATATTATAGGGGTCCGTGAAGAAACGAGGCAAATTTTTTTTTGTCATAAATCAGGTTTGGACGATATTAAATTTTGATACAGAACAAATTACGAATATGTCTTTGCAAGACCAAGACTAATCAAAACAATCCTCTCGTATAAGAAATACAACGTACTCGGAACTGTGTGTAGGTTTTTTTATTTTCTGGCGTAAAACCAAATAGCTCCGAGAGAATTATTTTGATGAACAAGGTCTGGTCTAAATACAAGGTAGCTGCAAAATTTTTTTTATTTTCTCAAAAGTTCTAAAAATCGAATCGATTGGTTTTTGGACTGACCCCTTCAATTGCACAATTATAATTTATATTAAATAAATACTTTATTTATTTTAAGTTTGGATTAATATTTTTATAGTGGCTTAATACTTCCGGGATAGTCTTAAATACTTTTTTTTTTTACGTCATGTTAATTATAATTGGAATACGTATGTACCTTAAATTTATATAGTAGAGTAGACAAAGTTAACGAAAACCGACCAGATACACTGTATATAGTGAGACACGATTTTTCTGCAATTTCCCATTATTAGTATATTATGAAGGTTAATGTTTGTTTGGTTGGATAATAGCGTATGGTTAATTATTTAAAATTAGTTTGGTAAATATTATAGTTTTAATTTACATATTTTATACAGTACCTACTTTTACTCGCAAAGTTCAATTATGTGTTGGCCTTAAGTATTAAGTAGATAACTTTTAATAAGGTGAGTGACATGACGTATTTATTGTAATTAACTGTATTAAGTATACATTAAATATTGTTTACATTATTCTCACCAATTAAAAATTATCTTATAAAATCAACAAGATTAAAAATTGATTTTAACTTTCTATTTTCATGATATTTTAATAAGTATAGCCGAAAATTTTAATATGAGTAGTTGATAATATAAGATTACAAATAAATGTAAGTCCCTCGGCACTTCCACTTTTGATTGTCGCGTTGTAATGAAATTAGTTCAAAAACGTGAAACATGTTTTCGTATTTACCTTACAGCAATTATAGCGAATGGTTTTAAATTTTCAATAAGTAGTCGAAGAACCGAAATGTATTTGTCATTAAAATAAAATTGAAAACTTGTACTAAATTTTAGCAGCGTGTGCATTGTGCTTTTATTAATATCTTAATAAATTGAAATGCATTTTGCTCACACATTTTATTTTTGAAATTTTGAAATTTAAAATCGAGTCCAAATTGTTAATAACTGTAAGACTATAAGAAATTCATGAAACATTTTTTGTCGCTTAAATATTCCGTGAATGTTTGTTCTTACATTTAACCTTATAAGTTATAACTCATATACTTCACACCGAGACCCGCTGAGAATCATAGTTGTTTTTGGAATGCGGTTACGTTGTCACGTTCAAATTTAAATAAATAACATAGGTTTTACTATCACATAATATATTACATATAATATTCCACGGCCGAGGTGACCGATGTGATGCTTTTGAGATGTGGTATGCGGTACTTGGGATGGCTGTCCGAATTTTTATTTTGGTGTAGGAATCTTGGAAAAACAATTATTACTGCATATTTTCATGTATATCTTTCTTGTACAGCAGAAGTTTCATCTCCAAAGCGACAATGTTCCTAAGCTAAAACCTACTTATT